TGAAAAAAAATGTTTGATACTATTTGATTTTCAAAACATTATGTCTATCAGATAAATACAGACATTTTACAGTCAACTCAGAGAATAGTTTTCATCACAACACATATTTTTTAATACAATGTATATATGAAAAACTTGCCATAAATGATGAAAAAATATCAAAATGACAAACTGATTTACAAATTTAGAATGGGTTATTGTGTGATATAATTTTTAAAACAATGCTAAATAAAATTCATATCTGACAGATGTTAGGAGTGCAACACAATAATGTAAAATAGGGTCACTTCAAAATCTAGTATTTTTTGTAAGAAGACTTGTTTATCAAAATTCTTTTTTGCTTTAGATTTAAAGAATTGACTTAAATGGACAAAAAAGTGATTTTTGCGGAATTTTTGTTGTTTCATATTTCTTTCATATTAAAAGTTTTCAAACCAGAATTTAAAAAATAATGTAAAATAACAATCAAAACGCTGATTTTTTTTCAACATATACAAGAGAAGAAACTCAATCAAGGATTAGAACTAATTATTTATATATCTGATACCATTTTGAAGCATAAAAACTATACATTTTTTTTTTATTATATATTTTAGAAAAGTCTCTTTGGATGTAGTGATTGATATTTTCTTTTAAAAATAAATTTCTTAATAAAAATTTTGAAACTTTTTTTATTGATTTGTTTCTTCTATCGAAACTTCGGGAATTTTAACTAGAATGCATGTAAAATATGATTATATAAGTGAAAAATATGGGTAGTTGAATTTTTTTAAAAAATCAATTTGGTGGTTATTATTTTTGAATTCACCCTTGTGTGAAATAATTTTGTTTTACAACAGATATACAGCTTAGAACTATGAATAAATTATTTTTATTTGTGAAGAAATGTTTTGTTCATTTTAATACAAAAAGAAGATTTTATAACCAATTAAAAATATTGACAGTGTGATAAATATTGTATTGTGGCTCAAATATTGTGATACACACCAATATTAAAAAGTATTGTTGCAGCCCTAGATCCTACATCATGTACATCTTCAGGTTATTAAGTTGATATCCGTCAACCGGAAGCTTTATTCCATATGTTCTAAAATGCAATATTTTGGTAATCCATGTGACTGGGACTAAAAGACTTCTCAATCTTATTTTTTAAACACCCAATTTTATGTTTTAACGCCCCCAAAATTTACCTAATTCGAGATCAATAACATACCGCCTGTCAATCATTAAAAAAACAATAGCTACTGATTTGATTGACAGGCCAGCTACCTGTGTTACCTGATAATCTGAATTTGCATGTTTTGGAAACAATTACCTGGTCACGCATAAAACGCTTTCATGTACCGCATGAATAATCGCTTTGTATGTATTGGCCTACACTTTGGTAAAAAAAATTCAAATCGCTTTATTATTGTTTGGTAATTATATCATAAAAAACAATCGAGAGTAGATAATTAAACATTGACTTTATGATTTTTTTTTTTTTTCAATTTGTTTGGCACTTGTAAACGATATGACGTCCAACATAACTCAACTGTAGAACTTTCCGAAGAAAAACTATAATAGCGAATATTCGAGGTTTTGTTTTAAATTGCAATTTGGAAATGTTGTTCTAATTTCAGCAAAAATTGTTATTAAAGACAAACAAATTATAAAATACAAATCAATCCACACCATTCGGTGGAAGAAATGTCACAATCATTGTTTGAATTTCCTCTAACATATATATTCGCAATTGAAAAGGATGAAGATAACGAACAGTTTAAAAAAAAAAAGTCTACACACAATACATATCGGTGAACAGGGCATAAAAACATGGACCCCGGAAATTGCAGTTGTGAATACTTTGGACATGATTGTTGGCCAGAAAAATAAAATCTGACTGGCTATGGTACATGTCGCATTGTCCACACGATAAATGAAATCTCTTTATTTCAATATTTACACTTATTCAATGATGATTTCTTTTACGGATGATTAAAAAATATTGATATGATTGCTTTGTAGTTTTCATTTGTGATTTTATTTTTATTTTACTTTTTTTTTTTTCTTAAAAAAAGATATTTCTTTATAATTTTTTTTCCTTCAAAAGATATCAATGAAAACGTTAACCAATTCTATATATTAAAGTATATAAATTATTTACAATAAAATATTTACAATAGTTTCTATCAAAATTAGACAAAAACGCGTAATGTTAACCCTGATTACCAAAGACAGACTTCCTGTGTACTACGTGTATAGGGATTTTTGACATCTTGAGTATTGGGGCTCTCCAGGTAAATAACACCAGTACAACTAAGACCACTCCCTCTCCTCAGGTAACCGTACGGTAAAAAATTGGGTTTTTGAATTCTATAACTAATAGATATACTGTACAATTTTGACTGTTGTTTGGTGTTGTGTAAGTTTTACCAGATTTAGGTTTTTATAATGTCTCAGGTTTAATCTCATGAGACAAAGTTCAGTGAGATTACCTTAAATCATAAAACTCGAACCATCTGTTGAGCCGTGCCCATGGACTATTTTTTAGGCTTGCACTTATCTCATATGGGATGACTGCAAGGCCCAAGGGCAGAAAATTATGATCTTGATTTGTAGAAATTCAGAATTTGTTGGTATTTTAGGAATGACTCTAATTCTTGGCCAAATTATTCGAGTATAACCTGGTTTGGGTCAGTTTATGCTTTATAATCCACTAAGCGGATTATAAAACAGTGTAAACTATCCGCTAAGCGGATTATAAAACAGTGTAAACTGACCCAAACCATTAAATAACTATGGGTGTAAAATTTCGTTGCTTTTTATTAGTTCAAATTTGCCGCTCAGTAATACAACCATAGTAACGGAAGTAACGGAAGTGATGGGAAGCGAGGGGAGGTAAAAACTGATACATAGGCTTAGCAGCCTTGTTGTTTGTTTACATGTGGTAAGATCGAATTATTGTTTGAAGTTAAAGGTACATTTATTAAATCTGGAATTTTCCATGAATCCCGAGGACTGGAGATGAGAGGATTGTATGGATACAGATGATTCAGCTGGTTGTCAAGGGGTGTGTGTCCCCATACCAAACCAGGTTATACAGAAATAATTTGTGTTCCTTTTTGGATATTAACCAATCAGAGGCTAGAATACAAACAAAATTTAATTATTATGAATTATTTCTCATTGTGCATTTCTCGTCGAAGGGAGGCACAACTGAATTTTTACCTCAGACATACACCATAAGTTTTCTTCTTTTCTTTTTTTGAAATGTGATTTTACTGGTGGAAAGGATATAAAGTGAAATGTAAATCATGAACTATGTTATATTGCCTTACTTTGGATTTTTGCAGATTACATCATGATAATATTAAGATTTCCTATGTTTTTACTTCAAGAAGATGATTTTCATACAAAACTAACTTTGGCAGACCTTTCTTTTCATGTTTTAATTGCCATGAATTTTAGAAAATCAAAGTACATTCATGTCATATGGATTGGGTTTCCTTTTCAATTTTGTCAAAGCTTCTTATGTTTTAAAATCAAGTGCAGGGCCACATCAATCAGGTAATTTGAAAGTTCAAAATTGGTTTTCAACTTAAAAAAAAAAAATCAACAAACTCTACACCATTTGATATTTGACAATTAATAGAGGCAGATCCAGGAATTTTAGTTGGGGGGGATAATTTTCAGAGAACTGGGGTCTGGGGGCTGCCTTTAGGTCCCCAGTGGGTCCAGAGCAATTTAAGCCCTTGTGGAGCACAGGTGATGAACCCCGGAATTTCCTGAATTTTAGAGATTTTATGAGTGAAAGATAGCCTTAAAATTATACTCCATAGCAAAGATTTTCAGAAAATTTTAGCAGAAAAAATTCCATGTAGAAAAAGATTTTCAAGATAGAAGACCTTATTGTGCAAATGATGAAAATATTTATTTAAAAATTGCACTGGTTTTGTTTATGTAATTTAGTCATATTTCTTTAATTTCCTACAACAGCCTATCAAAGTATTTCATACCCGAAAAATTTCAAGACATTTCACATTCTTAATTGCCTTCATCAGCGGTTTCTAAAGTTAGCAAAAGCATAGAATGATATATTTTTAAAAAAGTCTTAGACAAGTGACTACTTCAGTAATCAAATATCTCAAGAATGATAGTTTAACTACCCTTTATTTGTTTTTTCCTTTTATTTATAAATAAGTAACTCTAAATACATGTGTTTCCTAATTTTTGGAAATTTTAGGGGGGAGGGGGGTAACCTCCCTCTTTCTTAATCTGCCAGTGATTAACTTATACAGTAAGTTAGGGAAATCAGTAGAGTTTGACTCTTGATAGGTCAAACCTAGGACTTCAAAACAGGAAGTGGCTGTTTTAGAACCAGATGCATGGCATTCATTGTGAAAATATCTAGAGATCTTTTGAAAGAGACCTTAAAAACTTAGTCCCATGTTATAGCAAACATCCACTTTGGGTTCTTTTTAAGCAGCTAGTACTAGCTAGGGTATCCCCAAACATGTGACTACTCACTTTTAGAAAATTTTAAATATTCTTTTGCCAATATGCTAATATACTGATGACACCAATGTAAAAATAATTTCTGTGCTGAGTATTCGAGAGTATCAAAAGAGGAGGAAGGAGAGAATCATTAATTTAAAAATTGTGACTCTTCCATCATGAATATTGATAGAAAATATGCCTGGGGGAAAACAGTTTTACTTGACAGCAAGTGTCTGCTTTTCCCTTTCCTAAATGCATCAGAGAGTGACAATTCTTGTTTTATTTCAATCAATAATACATGTAATTAAATAAATTTAAGAAACAAAATCTTTTGATCAGCAGAGGTAAACATATCTGTATCATCTGATAAAACAGGCTATTATACATATACATATAATTTCAATATAAATTTTGCTAAAATACACATGTACTTTCCATAAAAGTGGCAAGCCGGGTGGTGGATCAAAGACTTGAACAAACTTGGCTTGATTCATAATAAGCATCTCTAGATTATTACTTACATGTTAATTTGTAGGAAAAATTCCTGAGTCAGGAATATCCATAGGTTATCTGAAAAACTGTCTAGCTTGTCCAATGAATTCAACACAGCATTATGCATGTTTCCCCCCTCTCCATATGGAATACTGGGAGGATTAAATACACTTGGGGGGAGACATTTCATGTCAGTCCCCCCAAGTATTTACCTAAAAAACAAACTTTATCTGAACAACAACCACTCATTGACTGTGCAATTCATGTTTTATTAATACTTAGTAATGAATAGTGTACAAATTCGTGGAAAAAGCTTTGTTCCAGGTAAAGCAAGGTGAAGGCCATTCACCTAAATAGTGTATTTTTAGCTATGCATGGCAAGAAAAAAAATCTCCTGTATCTATTGAAGGTATAAAAATTAAATTCCTATGTTATCTTTAAATGTTCACAGTATTCAATATTTTGCACTGATTGTACAGGAACTGAATAAATCTTTTAAAAATGACCTTTGCAAGATAAGACCAATGAAATATTGTTTAAAATTATGAATATATACAGGGTTTTCCCTAAGACCCGGGGGCCGGGGAATTTCCCTGCCTATAATGAAGTAATCCCCCGGTTACTCTGTAATCTCATCTTAACCCCCTATTAGGAGAGGAACCCCAAACCCCCTTCTATTATTATTAATGTCCCCTGCTTTGTCAATTCTTAAGGACAACCCTGATATATATATATATATATATATATATATATATATATATATATATATATATATATATTTATAGTTAAATATATAGTTATATATATATAGTTAGCCTGGGAAAGTTTAAATGCAGATTGATCTGCATTGCTGATACACACAGAAACACATGCAGTCACTAAAAAGCCACATTTGCAATTACCAATCAAAATAATTTCCTTATTAAAACATTATTATAATAGAAGAGCATTTATGTATTTTAAAAAATGTACATGTTGTTTTGAACATATTTTATTGACATTATGTCAAAGGGATTGGGCACAAGTTCCAATAACTTAGGTATAGTCCTATCCCCATGTACATGTTAAGATAGATACATGTATTTATAAAGATCCTTTATATTTAAGGAATGTTTTTATTGGTTTGTGTGAGTTATTGGTGTGTATTATAATCACACAAATTGTCATGTAGGCAATTTCATGAAGCGCATTAGTGCTTCATGAAAAAGATGCCTATACATACAAGTCTACACATCAATACTCGCACGAAACTTAAACAGTATATTCCTTATATTTACATTTCATTTGTTTAAAAGTAACAAAATATACTCAGTGTTGGATGTTTTATTAATGTCTCTGTAGCCTCATTGTGATGTCACTTAAGTGTGAGATTTTTCCTGTATTATACCAAAAAATCCTTTCAAATCAAGTTCATATTAGTTTAGTAAAAATACAGCAAATGTAAATATTTTATTAAAAAATACAGCAAATGTAAATATTTTATAATGCACATTTTATAATGCACAGTAGTGCTGTTTCCTGTATCATTGCAGTCATGCATGCATACAGTGTAATCTTCAGATAATTTTGTCAACCAGTCATGAATAATTTATGATAGCCCAGAATTAAGACAATATTTTTTAAAATCAGTTTTTCCATACATGGATATATTTTATAACAACAGTACTAACCTTGAAACATAATTGTTGTGTAAGCCTTTTGTTTTTATTGTAACAAACTTTTGTACTTGTCTTGATTGGATTTTAATGGAATTCTTTGACTTGAATTTGTCTGTAGCCATTCATTCTTAAAAAAAAAACCCAGTAATTTCAAACTATTCTATCTTTTCCACTATTCTTTTCCAGTCTCTGTTTGCTTAGTGTGATGTTCATTTTGTTGAACAGTTACTTGAAGTTTTGCAGTATGACAAAATAAATATTTGACCATATACTGTCACCCTAGACCCAAGCATCATTTTTTATCACATTTTTATCACTCTTGTTGCCTGATATGAAGAAAACTTGATACTATTTAAGGATACATAATACTGTGCATTTGGCGGCTTATATTGATGAACAGTTTGTGCTATTTCTAAAAACAGAACAATCTTTTGATAAAATTAATTGATATGTGAATAAAAAATAGATTTTTTAAAAATATTTTACAATTCACCATACTCATCAAGATGTGGGTGCATTATATTGATCAGAATGGCCATATATTGTTCTTTTTGATCAATCATGAATGGTCACAGTTTGATAAATTGCATTTCATCATTATGGCATTGAGTTTTTCACTTGTACTTATTCTTAGATTGTTCATAGATAAAGGGTGTGCAGTGTCCTTGAGCAAAACGTCTAGGTCAAAGATTAAGGTCAAAACATCTTTGTGTATCATTAACTTGTTATTTATACTAAAAATCAAATTTTAATGAAGGAAAACATAACTTCATATACAGTTTGAATTTCCTCAACATTGTTTACAAAGACATTCGCTTATATTTAATTATTCAATATTTCTATTAAAGTACCTTGACTGAAGAATTTGTTTCCTTTGACTAATTATTAAGCTGATTCTGATCTATGTATGGTTTAAGTATGTTTTTATGTGGGTACAGTGTACTTCTATCAAAAATCAACCCAGAGGTCAAGGTCAAAACATTTCTTTGTCTTTATTTTCTTTTCTCTAGCATAAATGTTTGTGTTAGATCTATGTATTTTTCAATGCATACATCAATGAAAAGATAGAATTATAGTCATTTATGAGTTAAAATGAGGTTCTCTACTAATTATCGGTTCTTAAGAGCTAACTGGGACACCTTCTGGACACTTTCCTTGACCTGCTGGAGACCTCAATGGGTCCTTGTACATGTACACATAAGCTTTGCATTGTAATACATTGTATCCTCTAACACAAAATCCTGGATCCACACATGTAGTATATATTGTACACAGCTCTAGAATCAATGTATTCTAGTGAGGCAGTGAAAACAGCTAAAAAATATTAAGTTTAATTTTCATTAAATCGTTCTTATTTGTAAATACATGTACCAGTTATTGGGGGATGTTAATCTCTTTTTTTAGCTCACCTGAGCTGAAAGCTCAAGTGAGCTTTTCTGATCACATTTTGTCTGGCGTCCATCTGTCCATCCGTCTGTCTGTCCGTCTGTTTGTCTGTCTGTAAACTTTTCACATTTTCGACTTCTTCTCAAGAACCACTGGGCCAATTTCAACCAAACTTGCCACAAAGTATCCTTGGGTAAAGGGGATTCAAGTTTGTTCAAATGAAGGGCCACACCCTCTTTCAAGGGGAGATAATTAGGAATTAGTGAAAAAATAATGGCATCATTTAAAAATCTTCTTCTCAAGAACCATAGAGCCAGGAAAGATGAAACTGATTGATCATATTTATGTGGAAGCATCCTCAGGTAATGTAGATTCAAGTTTGTTAAAATCATGACCCCCTGGGATAGGGTGGGGCCACAATGGGGGATCAAAATTTTACATAGAAATATATATTAGGAAAAATCTTTAAAAATCTTCTTCTCAAGAACAGCAAAGCCATGATGAGTCATATTTATATGGAAGCATCCTCAGGTAGTGTAGATTCAAGTTTGTTCAAACCATGACCCCCTGGGGTAGGGCGGGGCCACAATGGAGGATCAAAGTTTTACATAGAAAATATATAGGAAAAATCTTTAAAAATCTTCTTCTCAAGAACAGCAAATTCATGATGAGTCATATTTATATGGAAGCATCTTCAGGTAGTGTAGATTCAAGTTTGTTCAAACCATGACCCCCTGGGGTAGGGCGGGGGCCACAATGGAGGATCAAAGTTTTACATAGAAATATATAGGAAAAATCTTTAAAAATCTTCTTCTCAAGAACAACAAAGTCAAGAACAACAAAGTCATGATGAGTCATATTTATTTGGAAGCATCTTCAGGTAGTGTAGATTGAAGTTTGTTAAAATCATGACCCCCGGGGGTAGGGCGGGGCTACAATGGAGTATCAAAATTTTACATAGAAATATATAGGAAAAATCTTTAAAAATCTTCTTCTCAAGAACAGCAAAGCCATGATGAGTCATATTTATATGGAACCCCAGGGGTAGGGCGGGGCCACAATGGAGGATCAAAGTTTTTCATCGAAATATATAGGAAAAATCTTTAAAAATCTTCATCTCAAGAACAACAAAGTCATGATGAGTCATATTTATATGGAAGCATCTTCAGGTAGTGTAGATTCAAGTTTTTAAAATCATGACCCCCGGGGGTAGGGCGGGGCCACAATGGAGGATCAAAGTTTTACATAGAAATATATAGGGAAAATCTTTAAAAATCTTTTTCTCAAGAACAGCAAAGCTATGTTGAGTCATATTTATATGGAAGCATCCTCAGGTAGTGTTGATTCAAGTTTGTTCAAATCATGACCACCGGGGGTAGGGCGGGGCTGCAATGGACTATCAAAGTTGTATATAGAAATATATAGGGAAAATATTTTTCTCAGGAACAGCAAAGCCCAGATTGTTCATATTTATATGGAAGCATCCACAGGTAGTGTAGATTTAAATTTATTCAAATCATCACCCCATGGGGTAGGGTGGGGCCATAATGGAGGATCAAAGTTTTACATAGAAATGTATAGGAAAAATTTTAAAAATCTTCTTCTCAGGAACAGCAAAGCCCTGATTGATCATATTTATGTGGAAGCATCCTCAGGTAGTGTAGATTCTATTTTGTTCAAATCATGACCCCCGTGGGTAGGATGGGGCCACAATGGAGGATCAAAGTCTTAAATAGAAATATATAGGAAAATATCTTCTTCTGAAGAACTGCAAACCATGATTAGTTATTTTGATATGGAAGCATCCTCAGGTAGTGTAAATTCAATTTTGTTCAAATGATGACCCCCAGGGGTTGGGTGGGGCCGATTGGGGGATCGAAAGTTTTACATAAGAACATATAGAAAAAATATGTCTTCTCAAGAACAGGAAAGCTATGTTTAGTCATATTGATATGGAAGCATCCTCAGGTAGTGTAGATTCAAGTTCAAATGATGGCCCCTGGGATAGGGAGGAGCCACAATTGGGGATGAAATTTTTACAAACGAATATATGAGAAATTTTTGAAAAAATCTTCTCAAGTACAACAAAGCCATTTGTTATATTGACATGGAAGCATCATCAGGTAGTTTAAAATTCAAGTCCCCCCCCCCCCCCCCCCGGGTAATCTTTTCAATACTGAACTGATTTGTGCTTTTGCCTAGCCAATGTGCTCTGGTGAGCGATGTGGCCCATGGGCCTCTTGTTTCTCTTTGTCATCAATCATGCAAATTAAACTGTGCAGCTAAAATACAAGTAATATCTTATGAAAGACAAAAGTGAACAGAGTTTCTTATATTATTTTCAGTTTCTCCATGGAATTACCAAGATGACTGACATGTTTAGTGACCCATCACTGACATTAAATGGCCTTCTCAAGCCTGACACTGTTTGGAAATTGGGTCAAAAACTTTTACCAAATTTCACACAGATGGCCAGCCCCCTAGAGATGCCACCTTTATTGCCTGTGATTCGGCCAAAGTCACCATGTCTTCCTTTAGACCTTCATATGAGCCCAAAACGAACCCCTCCAGATGAACCAAAAACTCCATATGATGTTAGCCAAGGGACCCAAATGATGACACAGGATTTATCCATTAATAGGGAAATACAGCACAGTTCAACAGAAGACCAAGAGAAAGTCGATCATTTTTCATTGACACCTCTGCAGTTAAAAGAACGAGCTCAAGAATTCTTACTTCAGAGTAAGGGTGGAGCTAAGAGAAAATTGACAGTTCCTGTCCGTATGCCAGATGATATAGGGATGGAGTGTATATCAGACAGGGAAGTATTACTGGACTACTATAAAGAGATGTTGTTACAGAGAGAGACCAGTCCATGCAAACAGATGAGAACACCCCCTGCCACGTCAGAGTCTTCCACAGCAGGAGGACTTGTCGCAGAAGAAACTCGCAAACCAGAAACATGTAAGTGTGGTATTATTTTGATCCTTTGGCACATTATGTAATGACACATTAACATTTCATAGTGATTAGAAAGAAGCACATATTAATTGCAAATTATCAAGGTAAAACTTAGGGATACTGATTGTTTATGCTAAAAGGTGTTAAATCTTAATATGAATTGAATAGATAGAGCATTTATTATTATATAACTTGATCAGGAGTGTATTTTCACTGAGAAGCATTCATACGTATGGTAATATTACTGATTTAAACATATTGCATGAAATTGACAGTAGCATTAAAAATTCACCTTTAGGAAACCAATGTCAACCAAGCTGTGGCCTCAGTTGGCATGACAATGGTTTTCAAAGGGTAAAATTTTTTAGCTCATTGTGAGCTATAAATTCAGATGAGCTTTTCTAATTATTTGTTGTCCATCTATCCTTCCATCTTGAACTCTTCACATTTTTAAATTTTTCTCTAGAACCCCAGGGGCCAGTTTTAATCAGACTTGTTACAAAGCATTGTTTGGTAAAGGGAATTCAGATATTTGTTCAAATTAAGGGCCAAACCCTCTAGCTGTTCCAAGGGAGGGGGGGGGGGGGATATTAAAAAAATGTAATGCAAGTTCGGTGGCATCTTCTCCTCAGGAACCACTGATGCATCTAGGGATACATGCCACTGCAGTCCTATAGGTCTGATGCATCTAATTGAATATTCACTTTGCCATATGTAAAGCTTACATTTGTTGGGTTGAACTTTCTTTGATTAAAACATTTTTATTTCTTTAATACTTGATTAATCAAGTTTTTATTACTATGTTGCCAAAATGAATGGAGAGAATTTTACTTAAGTGACTTGCAATTGATTGGTTGGTTTTACATTTTTCAGATTCACCAACTTCCTCTCCATTGGACAATAGTGCCCCTGTTAGCCCTACCTCCAAAGCAACAGGCAGCCCATCATCAAAAACAGACGACAGCCCAGAACCAAGTAGTCCACAACCAGCAACCCAGGGTGGGCCAGAACAAGGTTCCTACCCTTGTTCTCATTGTGAGAAGAGTTTTGCCTACATGGGCAATCTCAAGCGCCATATAAAAATGCATCATGGGGAATACCGACCATATAAATGCCATTTATGCATAAAACGCTTCTGGGGAAATGACAGCTTAGAGCAGCATGTTAAGCGTGTCCATTCACGATTTCGCCCATATGAGTGTGCCCATTGTGATAAGAAATACTCTGTATGCTATGATCTCCAGAAGCATGTGAGAAGTGTTCATGGGAAGGATATTGACTGGAACATGGATGTTCCCAGCATGCCCTCTGATGGATCAGGGACCACGCCTGGTCTGGGAACTCACAAGGTCACTGGCATTAAGACTCAGGCACTTAATCAGCTGAACCACAAGTGCAAGTTCTGTGGACGAGGTTTTGCAACTTTCAATGGACTTGGGGTGCACCTTAAAATGCATTTTAGATGCCGAGTCTGCTTCAAGGGATTTAACACAGAAAGTTCTCTGCGCATCCATCTCCAGAAAGCTCATGATATTACTGGAGATCAAGAGTATGTGCTTTGATGTGCTTTGGATGCGTAGCTTAGTTGATGTAAGTGCACGTTTGATAATCAGATACAGTCCCAATGTATGAAGCATGTTGTCTTCCAAGCCTAAAGAATTCCATTTACTATGCAAGTATAGCTGATGTATATAATAATATTCACATTTTTGGTAATTTTTTCTGTGTTTCACAATTTCTAACTTTGTATTGATGGAATTAAGATTTTTATTGTAGTGCAGACAGTTTCAGATTGTATTTTAATGATATTGAAGAGTGTTCCTGCAGCAACTCATAAAATATATATTATTCTTTTATATTCCATGAATGAATTATGACATTCCATTTTTTGTGTGCTTTTGGTTGATACTTCCTAATTATATATCCTAATGAGTGCTTAGTTTAGTGTATACTTTTAGTTTTGATTGATTTTTTTAAAAATAATGGCATTCCTTCTTGATTTTTATGTTTTAACTTGTAATTGTTAGTGATGTAGGTAAAATGCAGTAGTGCTTATTGTTGATGATTTTTTTTGAAATTGTGATTTATATTTTCATTTCTGTTATCATCCACTGGTTCCCAGTTTTAAAAAAAGTCTTAGGGTGAATTGCATCAGACACATTCCACAACTTTGACTAATCAATCAAATGAAATTTTTTAAGGCTTTAATTTGCTCTATGGAGGGATTTAAAATGAAAAAATTTGGTTCAGTTTAATGCACGTGTAAAGTCAATCAGATGTGGATCTCTATGTTAATGTAATTAAGAAAAAAAAAAATGATATTTTTTATTTGAACCTCAGATCACGCAAGAAAATATGAACATTCCTATGTAGTGAAAAATACCTATTGGGTACCAATTATCCCCTGTACAGGTGAAAAATACCTATTGGGTACCAATTATCCCCTGTACAGGTGAAAAATACCTATTGGGTACCAATTATCCCCTGTACAGGTGAAAAATACCTATTGGGTACCAATTATCCCCTGTACAGGTGAAAAATACCTATTGGGTACCAATTATCCCCTGTACAGGTGTATTCTAGTTTATTTTGTCAGTCTTCAGAAGAGAAAGAACATGTTGAAGACAGCAGATAAAACAGAAAAAAAAGGAACAAATGCATTTAGTTCAATTATTTAGCTTTAAAATAAATTCCATTTTTTTGTACTATAGTTTTTTCCCCTTCTCAGATGCATATGTTTTTTTTTTAGAATATGAAATTGACACTTGTAGAGGTGATTTTAATGAAGATGTTTAAATTCCATCACTGTTATTCTCAAAGAACATTCCTAATGTTATTTGTATACTTCTAGATATTCAATCATGTGATGATTTGACATTTGTAAATGTATAATTTGTTGATTTTATATAAATATATATATATATATATAAATATATGTGTCTTCTTTTTTAACATGTAAAATTGTAAAAAAAAAAAAAAAAAAATTGTTGAGAAATGAAGTATTTGCCAGTTGATGTGCCATAAACTATTTTACACAAAGTAATTGTGTATGAAATGTCCAGTATGTTCAAATCATTTTTACATTTAAAAAAAAATGACATAATCTCCCCTGACACAATCTGTACATATATACCTATATAAAGTAGAATTTTTTTTATTATAGCTGTACACATGTTGTGCCCTTTATTGACTGTTTGACAGGATTTTACCCAAAATGTCATATTTTACATGATTTATTATGCAGACAAGATAGCTTTTGTAAGGAACTATTACTTGCATTAATATCTTAAATGCAGTAGGCATTTTCTATGCAAACTTGAATCATGCAAGCAGGAAACAATATAAATGTATTAATATCACTGAAATCTTTATTCATGACTCTTTCATTGAAAGAGATCATAAAAAATGAGCAATTGTAAAGTCAAGATATGCTTGTATCAGCAGGAAAACCATTTCAAGATTATTTTTACAATTCTGTTAAATCACTGACGTATTATTTACGAATGATCTTGTTTCAATCACATCTGTTCCATTTTATTATCATGTGACCATAACCATGAAAAACATGTGTTTTGTTGGTCTGTTGTTAAAGGGTGAAAGTTAAGCTTACATTTACATGTTGTTAATTTTAAAAAGGTTGTTAGTTTTACTCATTTTCAAACTAAAATATTAATTAAATTTATTAATCACATTGTTTAAAAAGAAAAATAGTGCCTTTATATGTATATACTTGTATGATAAATGCATCAGAAGATGATATTGGGTCAGTACTGATATTACATCTAAATTTGTTGTATATATATAGTTTTATGTAAGTATTATGAGCAAAAGTAAGCCAAAATTTCACTTTCAATGTAGAAGTCATGATTATTACTTTTGTTAGTTTTTGATTTGAGAAATGCATTTTACCTGGACATTTTGTTATAGTATATATATCTAACAACTTTTTTTTTTTTTCAAAATTCCTATTGATGATAGATTTTTATGAATGTCTGTTCCACTTATGATTTATATGAATAGATTTTTCATATCAAATCAATTTTTTGTTTACTTTGGAGGAAAAAAAGTTGAATTCAATACTAATTTAGATGTTCATATTTTTCATATTGTTGAAACCCCTTGTTTAATATTAGATGTAACAAATGAATTATCACTCTGTATGATAAATATTTAAAACATTGGTAAAACATTGGTATAGTTTTTCAGTGTTAGCAGAACCCAATCACTGTCTCTAGAGGTTAATTCAATTTCAGTCTCTCTCTCTCTCTCTCTCTCTCTCTGATTCATTGCTCTTAGATGGAATTTTACATTTCAGAAATCATGATTTTTCATTAATATCTTTACTTTACTATAAAAATATAGGTCAGTAGAATATTTTGTTTTTTTGAGTGTGGTATGCCTATGTGTCTCTGCCCTGCTCAACATGGGAAGGTGGTAGAAGTATCTGTAGATAGAAAAAATGTACAAATTAATATCACGAAAAGGTATAAATCAAAACTAAAAAATGTAAACCACCATTATTTGAATAATCTTTATGAATATCAAATCAAGCAGTAGAGCTTATAACTTGTACTTAACTCAAAAGCCATAATTAATCACGCTGTATTTACTATACATGCATTTTTCAAGAAACGTAGGGATTTTTTTAAAAATTCATTTTTTCCCCTGAAAATGCAAGACACTCACAGTATAATGATTGATAAATACCTAATGTGTGAGAAATATTTGATTTGTTAATTACTTTTTTGAGTGTTGCAGAGTTGTGGGAAAAATTAAACAACCCAACCAAAGTTCAGATAAACAACCCAACCAAAGTTCAGATATCAGAGTTTTAAGTTTTTTTATGCCCACGAATTGAAGATTTGGGAGCATAAAGGTTTGGTCATTCCATCTGTTTGTCTGTTTTCTGCAAAAACTTTTACCTTGCCCATAACTTTTGATTGGTTGGAGGTAGGGCTTTCATATTTCACACGTGTATTCCTTGTGACAAGACTTCCTTTTGATACCAACGTAATTGACCTTTAACTCACTTCGCAAAATTTTACCAAACTTAAACCTTGGCCATAACTTTAAAATGGATATTGCTTGGGCTTTCATACTTTACATGTGTAATTCTTGTGACAAGATCTTTCTTTGGATACCAACAACTTTGACCCTTTGACCTTGACCTTGGAGTTTGACCTACTTTTGGAAACTTTACTTGGCCATTACTTTTGAACAGTTGGTGCTAGGACTTTCCTACTTCACATATGTAATCCTTGTGACAAGACCTTACTTTGGATACCAACAGCTTTGACCCCTTGACCTTGGAGTTTGACCTACTTTTGAAAAACTTTAATCTTGGGCATAACTTTTGAATGGTTGGTGATAGGGCTTCCATATTTCACATGTGTATTTCTTGTGAAAAGACCTTTCCTTGGGCTTCATTAATTTTTATCATTTGACCTTGCTGTTTGACCTTCTTTTGAAACTTTAACCTTTTCCATATCTTTTCAGTGGTTGCTTCTAGGGCTTTCATATTTCACAGTTATATTCCTTAAGATAAAATCTTACTTTGGGTACTAACATATTTGATTGGATTTGAGAAAGTTTAACCTTTGCTTAAGTTGTCATACAGGGGCATCAGTGTTTCACAAACATATCTTGTTTGCTTTAACCTTAAATCTTTAATAAGTACAATTTCATTTGCAAAGGATTATGCATGGATACATTATAATGTTTGCAAATTTTCTGTATTTTGAAGATAAAATTCATGCAGAAATCCTTTGTTGTAAATAATTATTGATAAAAATACCACAAGCTCCCAATATATCAGATGTAATTTTCTGTTTTGATGAGGATTTTAACATATTAACCCCCAAAAGTATTTGAAATTATGTGCTAACATTGAGGTTTTTGACTGCATGTTCTTGTTCGTCTTTGGGCATTATGATTAATGACACACAATTTGACTTGCTTTTCTTTGGAGCTTATGTACATACCATATAATTAACAATAATGTAAAATTTTCATAACACAGTTCAAATCTTTTTTTCTTTTTTTTTCAATGTGTTTAATAGAGGAATTGGTTGGATTGGGTCATTTAATTAAATGATGTTTTATAAACTATTTAAAAAACAAATTTACTAGATCGCTTCACCATTTTTGGGGGATTTCACCTCCATATATTACCAGGTACACATTTCTAATGAATACTCAAACAATTCGAAGTCTGGGACTAAAAAATACTTGTAAAGAACCAGACTTCTGATCAGTGACATTTTTAGGTAAGAGGGTTTCTTACAGAATATTGTTGTCTGAAGTTAAAAAAAGTTTTAAAACAGTGTAGAGTATTTAAGAAATTATGTCATTATCACTTCTTGCACAATTTCTACACGAAATAATTCCATTTTCTGCAATATTCATTTACAAACTAATGAAGTGACAGCAATCTTTCCAACTTGCATGTAATTAATCACAATACTAGTTAATTTTCATTTATCTTTTTAGTATCAGTTAAACTGAAGCAATCATATAATTATTTTATTTTATAGATGTACCTCTTTTTTTTTTTTTTGCAAATCTTAAGCAAAAACAGCATTTTTACAAAGAGCATTTGATGTGTTTTAAGTAGTGATTATACAGCAAGGATTTGGGCAATTTTGACATGCCTTTTAGTCCTTAAATGTGAGTAAAAAAATTGACATTTGTATCAAGTGTGTACAATAAAATAAAAAGATGTAAAAAAAAAAAAAAAATGTTTTTAATTGTTTATCTTGAATGGTAATTCCAAATAGGAATTTTTGGTAGTGATAAAATCTGCTGACTTGTAGATAAAATAGTTGACAAATAAAAATTCAGTATCAATCAGATAGAATCAAAACAGGGGCTGGATCCCTTTAGAAATAGCCAAGGAGTGAATTTGTATCTATAAATCTACTACCTTTGTTGCCAATAAAAAAAAAAACAGGGGCTGGATCCCTTTAAAAATAACCAAGTAGTGAATTTGTATCTATAAATCAACTACCTTTGTTGACAATAAAAACTATAGTAGTATAACTGAGGTCAAAGGTAAAGGTCAAATCTGGGTCAGAATGGTAAACATGCTGCATACTGACTTATGAAAATAGACCCAACATGGCAAATAAATTTTTGAATGAAGATGAAAAAAGGTTATGTATCCCAGGAATGATATGTTTTTTTTTTTTGGTTGAAGCACATGGCTCAGTGGTCATGGGTGTTTGGCCAAAGGTTGCTGGTTCAAGCCCTGCCATGGGCACTTGATGTTAAGTGTTGTGTCCCAAAACAAGGCACTTTATCTTCATTCTTAGTCCACCCAACTGCAATGGGTAGCAGATTATGCTGGGGGTTAACCTGCAATGACTGGTGTCGCATCCAGGGAGAATCAATGACTTATCTGCTAAGCACCAGAGAAACTGGGTATATAAGCACATGCCTTATGAGCCTCAGAGAAGGATTGGTTTTTGATGATTTTTAGATTAGATAAAACCTTATACTCCTAGCCATCATTATGTTCAAAAAAGTCAATATCTGATGCATTTGAATCGGTATAAATGTATATCCATTGTAATGGTTAGCGGCATATGAACTTCTGAACATATTTTCATCCATAGCTGAAAGTTATTACATCAAATGTAGTAATTTCCAAATATAGGTCCCTTACTGCCTGTTCTACCCAAGTTGTTTCTACCCAGGAATTTTTTCTTCAAGGTCAAATCCCCTGCTGCCTAGGTCTATTTTCCTCCAAGGTCATTTTCCTCTCTTAACATTTTTTGCATTCCACAACATTGCTCATTCACTCCATCAATTGAAAACTTAATGTCTACAACCTTTATATTTCTGAATGTTGATGTTATATTTGTAATACATAAGTTGTTTTATTATATGATTGAATAATTCCTATGAATTCTCTAATGGCTGACATCTAACATTCTAGAAATCATACAAAGTTATGTGCACCTGAACGTCACCTTCCAAGTAAACATTTTTTCTATGATTGTCTAAAAATAGATGGAGAACTTCCAGACTGATACAATTACTTATGATTTCTTCTGCACTCAACCCCCATCTTCCAGTTGTTTTCTTTAGAATCCTTTTCATCCCAGCTCATTGCTCATAGAGCAAGAGCTGGCCCTGCAGGCAGAAAAACAAATGCCATATTTAGTTTTAAATTTGTTTTCACAAAAGATTTTTTTCTAAGTTCAAGGGACATAACTAAGACTAAACTATATAATAAAAATCATCGACCCATGACTAAATTCAAACTTGACCTGTATTTTCTGGTAAAATACCTGCATATATGCATACTCCAACCTTATACATACATCCCTCCCTACAAAAGTCAGAGAGCCGAAACTGAAAATTTCTAATTTTTTTCTAAGTTCCAGAGGGATAACTCTGTCAAAAATCATTGGACCAAGACCAAATTCGAATTTGACATACATATTCCTATGACATATCCAGTTGTCATTTGAGTTGAATGTGTACAACTGTTGCAGATATAATGAATGGAAACTCAATGATGATGGAATGACGGAACAGGGTAACACTATATGCCCCCAGCCATTTTATGGAGGGGGCCTAAAAATTTACATTTAGTATTTATTCTCAATACAAATATTGAATATAACAAACATAAACAAATGAACATTTTTCTACACAAATAAACATCAACAGTAATGACTTTGAAAATTTTAATCTTTTGTAAAACATTACATATGTATAAGCTATTCACATAATTAAGGTTTTGTGTTATCATAGCCTGATTCCCTGGACAGGTGAAAAAAAAACATCTGGGCAGGAAATCAGGCTAATTGGTGGCATCAAGATAACTCGGACTCTGATTAATTCAGACCATGGTAAAGGTCCCCCCCCCCCCAAAAAAAGATATATCATTTACAATATTTTTTTTAATATTTTCATACTTTCTTTTTTATAATATTTTTTTTTCATGTTACATATGTCATTGAAGCCCTTAAACTTAATTATTTCGTTTGATGAGCCCCACTTACAGAACTGAGTACCGGTACTTTGATTATACATATATGAATGATTATGATCTTTAAGACATCAAGTACCTACACCTTTAAATCATAAGCAACAACATTTCAAAATTTGAACTGAATCCAATCAAGGATTTCGAATTAGTTATAATTATATCTGATTACAAACTTTTTTTCTTAAGCTTGAAGTATTGTACAAAAGGCAGCATATATAATATTATGTAATAATAATATATGGTACAAATAAGTAATACATGGACAGAATATCGATGACAAAATAATATTCAAATTACTCCAAATTTGTATGAAGTAGTCTGTTGATAAGTCTCAGATGGATCCAGTAATGTTGAAGGAAAATTAGGCTGAAAATAAAAAGAAATGAAAATAGTACATAATAAATCATTACAATTTCATTTAAATATGCTCTCCCCCCCCCCCCCCCCTTCAACTGATTTGACAGCAGATGAAGTGCTAAACATAATACAATGAATAACTAATGTTTATATCTAAGAGCAAGAAGGCAAAAAGAAGACTGTTATATGACAATCTTTTATTCATTTCATCACTCTTTATTACTTCACATGAGCTGAAAGCTCAAGTGAGCTTTTCAGATTACCAGTTGTACAGCATGTGTCTTCTGTCCCTCCATCACCTTACACATTTTTGACCTCTTCTGTATATGAGGGCTGTTTTTGTATTTACTGCCATTAAGTGATATCACCTATTCTAATAGGTGATATAACTTATTCAAATCAAATATGTGATATCACCAATTCAAATAGGTGACATCATCAATTTAAATGGGTGATATCACCTTTTTGAACAGTTGATATCACCTATTCATTTTGAATAGGTGATATTCCTTTTTTTTTCAAATAGGTGATATCACTCCCAAGACTACAGGGTATGTAAAGTGTGATGTACCTGGAAGTTATTAAATGTTGTCGAAAAATCTTGTGAGTCACGTGATGAGACTTAAACACTTCAGTCTCTTTGAACATAAATGATTTATTATAACAGAGAGAAACTATCAATAAATATTTGCAAAACTAATACTGCAAGTAAAATTTATAAAATTAATGTAACTTTACAATATAAGGTATATAAAATGTCTCGGACTAAAACACGGGAAAACTGAGCAGCCCGAATTTGCTTGGGGCCAATGGAAATCTATAGTCTTGAGAAAGGGGGCATTCATTATTTAATATTGCAAGAAATGCAAATAGTTGATATCACCTATTTGAAAAGGTGATATCACTTATTTGAATAGGTGATATCATCTATTCAGCTTGAATAGGTAATATCACCTATCCATTTCCAAAAAGTGATATCACTAATTCGAAAAGGTGATATCACCTATTCGAATAAGTGATATCACCTTTTCGAATAGGTAATATCACTTATTTGAATAGTGGCAATAAATAACAAAACGGCCTCTAAATAGCTGTAGTACCACTGGGCTAATTTCAACAAAACATTGCACAGAGCATATTTGGTGAAAGGGGATTCAAAATTGTTCAAATTAAGGACCATGTCCTCTTGCAATGGGAGATAATTAAAGAAATCATTAGACAAAGAAAAGGCAAAAAATAAAGTGCAGTCATTTAAAAATCTTATTCAATCTCAAGAACCACCAGGTCTGTAAAGATGTAATACGTGAGAACTTCCTGACACAGTGTAGAATTCAAATTGTTGAAATAATGGCCAAGAGAAAAAAAAATTTTTCTCTCAAGAACCACAGGGCCATGATTAGTCATACTGATAAGCAAGTATAGTGTAAGTTCAAATTTGTTCAAATCATGGCTGTAGGATGGGGTCACAAAATGGGTTCAAAGTTTTTCTTCTCAAGGACAAGAGCGTCACGATTATAGTCATACTAATAAGCAAGCTTATCTACGGAATGCAGATTCCAGTTAGTTAGAATCAGGGCATGGAGAAAAAGTGATGGGAGGGACACAAAAGGATATCATATTTTTACATAGGAATATAAAAAAAAAATCTTTAACCAGAACTTTCTGACCTTGGACTTAAAACTTAGCAGCTAAGGCAACACCATTTAAGAGAATTATGATCTTTAGTTTAGTTTACATGTGTGCCAAGTTTTATCAAATTCAGACCAAAATGGTAGGAGGAGTAGTATTTTGGAAGAAATTCCAAAATTTTGTAGTAACCATAGCTACACTGTTCATCTTGATCAGAATTATGTATCTTAGAGTAGTCTACTTGTGAACCAATTCCTATTGAAGTTGGACCAAAACTGTCTAATTATATTCTAAGTTTTATTGAAATTGAACAAGTACTGTATCATAATCCAAGTATGTACAGAAAGGAAATCTCCTAAACAGCAAATAATAACAACATTGAGTTATCTCCAATTTGTCTGCAATCAAGTTCAATTAAGACATGAACTCTTGAGGCTAGGGTAGGGTCACTATTAGGGTCAACTTTTTCATTCACTATTTGGGTCAAAAATTTTTCATAAGAAATTGAGAATATTGCATGAGGGCAAAAATCCTTTAAAGATTTTGAAAAAGGTCCAGAAAAAGGTACATAGATTATAAAATGTCTGAAATAAACTCTTTTATCTGAAAATTCTAGGCTTTCACTGTTTTGTCAAAAAGTGAAGAAATGAATACAGAAATTGTCAATAACAGCCTTTTCTCATGCTTTGCTGTCTTAAATAAGCATCGGCTATTGATTGTATTGTGTTTTTTATCAGTTATTTGGCCTTAATAAAATAATGAAACATAAATGGACCTCAACTGAGCAAAGAGATATGCTGAAACTCACTTTGTTTGGACTATCCGGATAATGTGCTGCCTCAAGACAAAAGGCCCCATACTTTTTGTACTTGGCCCCGCCCTTTCCCGTTTCATTTAAATAGTATGAGGTATAAAACACGAGACCTGGTTCAGTGCTGTACACCTCTAAAAATCGACCAGAGGCTGGATGTTCCACTCTAGGAAAGAGAAAGTGAGAATTTAAAAAAAAAAAAAAAATGAGAAAATAACAACACAAATTCTTCTATCTAAAAGTATTCTCAAATGCTGCTGCAGAACCAATGAAAAAAAAAAGACACCTTGCCATGTATTTTTTCTCGCCAGTCGTCCTAAAGCAATAGTTATGAGCATAGCCCACATTTCCAGGAACCAATGGAATCATCTCTCCAATGTTTTTTGATGTGCGCAAGTCGAAGGGTGTACCATCTACATCATCTATGGTTCCTGTTTATAACATAGGCAAGATCTATACTGTATGGAATTTATCAGTTAATATAGTTGTATAATCAATATGATTCATGATTTAGTTTTTCTCACCGTTATCTTTTTTGTTACCTGTGGGAATGTATGTGGAATCCTGTGGTGTATATTTATCGGCTTTTATGGTCACATTGTGGTCAAAAACATTCTCAGCACCCTACAGAATACAAAGGATATCTCAAAAATTAAACAAAATATAAAAGAAAAGTTTAATATCTCTTATAGATATTGTGGATTTTTTCATAGTGCACTGTAATACTCAGAATTATCTGAGCACATTCATGACTAGCTAAATTATGGAATTTATGATTACCTGTCCAGCTAAGTTGAAGTAGGCGTGGTTTGTGAGATTGATGACAGTTTTTGCTGATGTAGTTGCTGAATACTGCATGACCAGTTCATTTTCCTCAGTCAACTGGTAACGGACAGTGACTTTGACTTCACCTGGGAATTTATCCTCCCCATCAGCACTGACATAGGTCAATTGCAGTACGTCACCATCGATCTCTGAATTCCATACTTTCTGCAATAAAGCATTGTGATTGCTTGTTGAAACCACATCATTTTGAACAACTATCGTGGAATATATAAATTCAAGTTTAAAAAATTCTGCATATGTTAAACCCTTAAAAGTACACAGCCCCAAAATTTTTGTTCTCTAAATTTGATTAACAACTATGTAGCAAATTGAATATTATCAAAAGTACTTTACTTTATGGAAACCACCTTTCCCTCCATGTAGTGAATTTTGTCCATCATTTTTGTCCAACTCGTACGTTTTCCCATCAATAGTAAAACAGGCATTTGCAATCCTGTTTGCAAAGCGTCCACACAGAGCACCCAAATAGAAAGGATTTGTTTCATACCCTAGACAAGGAATCAACTTTATGGTAAAGTCCATAAATGTTTACAAGTTTCTTTGTTGTCAGAGGACTGTAAAAAGTATTTGGGGATGATGTATTAAAAGAGAAAAAAATCTCAATCTTAAAGCATATCTATTAATTTAACCATTATCCATAAAGCAAGTAATATTCTTATCGAACTTGTATAGACCAAAAGTTTACGGTACTCAATGACATCCATCATTTTTGATTTGTCTTTTTTCACAACCAGATTTCTCCTCCTTTGCACAAAAAGGACACAGGAAGAAATTTTCAAACATACCTTTCATGTCATCATAACCAAGACAAATGTCATCCATCTTTCCATTTTTATCTGGTACCAAAATCTTTGTGATGATTCCCCCAAAATTTAGGATTTGTATTTCCGTGCCTTGACTGTTCTTTAGGGTATATCTACACACATTTAGTAATAAATGTTTCATATTGCAGATTATCATTCTAGCTCTATATTCAAATAACTATGAATTGTTTCACTCTGTTTTAAAAATTCAATAACAAGTACCAAATATTTCTAATTCCAGCTGCAAGCTGGGAGAAGCAAGCTGTGGTGTACTATCTTAAATTTTGGTTTAATTTAACTCAAGTGGCAGTTTCCTACATGAAGAATAATTAAATTGTTGAGATAATGCAAAAAGAAAGAAAAGAAAAGAATCTATAGTTTCTCAGGCACTACTGCATCTGGTCAAACTGCCGCAATTTATCAACATATTGAGAAGGGAAATAACTCAATTTTCTTATTTTACTAAGTTGAAAAAGAAAATTATATGATATGCCTTTTTTCATACCTGCCAATAGAAAAACGTTCTTTTTTTTTTTTAGATACACAAAATATTTCTTGTTAAAACCATACTTTATGAATCAACTTTTTATAAAAATATTTGGAATAACATCATTTAAAGTTGATTATATAATATTATACTTAATCAAATAATAAGAGAATCAGTTGATTATATCATTTTGTTGACATGAAAAGAAATAACAACTGCTTCAAAAAAAGAGGGAAACAAAAGACCTGCCCGCCACATTGAATTTTGAAAAAAAAAAATGGCAAGGGAAACTAGAGAGATTTTTTTTTTGCCTAATAAACTAGATGCTTCTTAACAAAGTAGTGTTTTCACACTTTTGGTGCTCCAAATGTATTTCTGTAAATGACGACATATACGTATTTATATAGGTCTACCCCTCTATACTACAAAATCAACATATATACTTACTGTAGTTGTCATCATTTACAGAATTACATGGGGTGCCCCTATGATATTTATCTAAGAATTGAACCCAGTGAAGGTTCTCTAGTATCCTTGTTGACTGGACTTAAGACCCCAAATGCACAACTTTATGTACAGTGTAATAAAATTGACCTGTAAAAAGTGTGGAAATTTTAATCATGTATTTGAAGGGAAAAGAGCAGTTTTCTTTCTCATGCAGTATATTCACCTCTTACTGATGCTATAAGCTGTAAATTCATAGAAATTCTTTATTTGTATCAGTGTAATTTAATAAGACTAGAGAGGAAAATATAACCAAGATTAAAACAAAATTACTGGTACATTTAACACAGATGACTTTTTTTCATCATTTATCACTTACTGTATAACATCTTTCCCATCATAGGTTCCAAATGGAGAACTTGTGATCATGGCAGATGTTTGTTAACAGTCTTCTACTAAAAAAAAAGAAACAACAAACAAACAAAAACAAACAAACAACAACAACAACAATAATAATAAAAATAAAACAAATCAAGAGGCCCATGGGCCACAATGTTCACCTAAACCACCTTGGTTCTGCTTTTTTTTTTTTTTTTTTTTTTTTTTTGAAGATTATAAAAAGATTTTTACCCCTCTGTATTACCTTGAAAAATTTTGACCCAATATTGTTGTCCCACCCTTGCCTGAAAGGGATATAAATTAGCTGAACTTGAATCTGCCTAACATGGGGATGCTTCCGTATCAATATGACTAACATGGTCTTACTCATCTGGAAAATATTTTAAACATTTTTCTCCTGTATACATGTAAAGGCGTTATGTAAACTTTGATTTAGGATTTTAGTCCCACATAACCCCACATAACCTCAGTCAGGGTCCATAATTGGGAGAAGAAAAAAACTGGAATCCAAACAACTTAAACATGTTTGCATATCCTTATGATTTAGTGTGGCCCTGCTACTCTTTTTTTCAAATTTCTGATGTATTCTCAAGTAAAATTCTGATCCCAGCTATTCTTGCCCCATCCTACCCCTGTAGAACATTATTTGAACAAACTTAAATATGCATTTTTTAATATGACTAATCATGACCTTCTGTCTGAAAGATTTTTTTTTAATTCTTAAATATTTCTATGTAAAACTTTGATTCCCTATTGTAGCCCCACCCTACCCCAGGGGCCATGGTTTGAACAAACTTGAATCTAATAGCATATTTATATGATTAATCATGGTACTGTTATTTAATATTGAGAAGATTTTTAAAGATTTTTTTTCTCTATATTTCCATGTTAAACTATGATATCCTATTGTGGTCTTACCCTACCCCCAGGGGCTATGATATGAACACACTTGAATCTACACATAAACAAGAGGCCCATGGGCCACATTGCTCACCTGAGCACATTGGCTAGGGAAAAAAAGCAAAAATCAGTACAGTATTGAAAAGTTTACAGGGAGGGGGGTGTTGAATTTTAAACTACCTGATGATGCTTTCATATCAATATCACAAATGGCTTTGTTGTTCTTGAGCAGCAGATTTTTTTCCCATATATTCATTTGTAAAAATTTGATCCCCCATTGTGGCCCCACCCTACCCCCGGGGGCCCTCATTTGAACAAATTTCATTCTACACTACCCAAAGATGCCTCCATATCAATTTGACTAATCATGGCTTTTCTGTTCTTGAGAAAAAGACTCTTTCCTATATATTCCTCTGTAAACTTTGATCACCCATTGTGGCCCCAACCTATCCCCGGGGTAATGATTTGAACAAACTTGAATCTTCACTATCTGAGGATGCTTCCATATAAATATGACCAATCATGGCTTTACTGTTCTTAAGAAGAAGATTTTAAACGATATTTTCCTATATATTTCTATGTAAAACTTTGATCCCCAATTGTGGCCCCACCCTACCCCCGGGGGTTATTATTTGAACAAATTTGAATCTTCACTACCTGAGGATGCTTCCATATAAATATGACCAATCAAGGCTTTACTGTTTTTAAGAAGAAGATTTTAGAGATATTTTCCTATATATTTCTATGTAAAACTTTGATCCCTCATTGTGGCCCCACCCTACCCCCGGGGGTCATGATTTGAACAAACTTGAATCTTCACTACCTGAGGATGCTTCCATATAAATATGACCAATCATGGCTTTACTGTTCTTAAGAAGAAGATTTTTAAAGATATTTTCCTATATATTTCTATGTAAAACTTGGATCCCCAATTGTGGCCCCACCCTACCCCGGGGGGTCATGATTTGAACAAACTTGAATCTTCACTACCTGACGATGCTTCCATATAAATATGACCAATCATGGCTTTGCTGTTCTTAAGAAGAAGATTTTTAAAGATATTTTCCTATATATTTCTATGTAAAACTTGGATCCCCCATTGTGGCCCCACCCTACCCCCGGGGGTCATGATTTGAACAAACTTGAATCTTCACTACCTGACGATGCTTCCATATAAATATGACCAATCATGGCTTTGCTGTTCTTAAGAAGAAGATTTTTAAAGATATTTTCCTATATATTTCTATGTAAAACTTGGATCCCCCATTGTGGCCCCACCCTACCCCTGGGGTCATGATTTGAACAAACTTGAATCTACACTACCTGAGGATGCTTCCATAAAAATATGACCAATCATGGCTTTGCTGTTCTTAAGAAGAAGATTTTTAAAGATATTTTCCTATATATTTCTATGTAAAACTTGGATCCCCCATGGTGGCCCCACTCTACCCCCGGGGGTCATGATTTGAACAAACTTGAATCTACACTACCTGAGGATGCTTCCATAAAAATATGACCAATCATGGCTTTGCTGTTCTTAAGAAGAAGATTTTTATATTTTCCTATATATTTCTATGTAAAACTTGGATCCCCCATTGTGGCCCCACTCTACCCCCGGGGGTCATGATTTGAACAAACTTGAATCTACACTACCTGAGGATGTTTCCACATAAGTCTCATCTTTCCTGGCCCAGTGATTCTTGAGAAGAAGATTTTTAAATGATGCCATTATTTTTTCACTAATTCCTAATTATCTCCCCTTGAAAGAGGGTGTGGCCCTTCATTTGAACAAACTTGAATCCCCTTTACCCAAGGATGCTTTGTGGCAAGTTTGGTTGAATTTGGCCCAGTGGTTCTTGAGAAGAAGACAAAAATGTGAAAAGTTTACAACAACAACGACAACGACAAGGACAACGACGACAGACAACGGAAAAATTTTGATCAGAAAAGCTCACTTGAGCCTTTGGCTCAGGTGAGCTAAAAAAAAGCTTTCACATTTGTTTTTCTTTTCCAGCCCAATGGTTCTCGAGAAGAAGATTTTTTAATACACCCACTCAATTGCCTTTTCTTGATTATCTCCCCTTTTAAGGGGGCATTGCCCTCCATTTAAATAAAGTTGAATCCCCTTCACCCTAGAATCAGCTTTATGGCTACTTTCGTTTATTTAGTCCAATGGTTTTTTCCGTAGTAACCTCTGGACCCACAATCCTTTGCAAACTACATTTCACAGCAAAATTTGTTCCAATCTAATTAAAATTAGATGTTCCGAATCCGCTACCGCTTCTCAAACATCTAACAACATCCCATTCGGGGTCACGTCAGAGCGACCTTTCGATTATGAATAAACATAAAAATTTTGGCCAATCAGATTCAACCTTCTGTATTCAACTCTAAAATTAGTTCCACGGCTACATCTCTATATTATTGATGCTCAGTAGACTGTCTTACGTTGAATTAAAGTAATTTTGGTATAAATTGAACGTATAGTCCGCCAATCTTGCATTCTTACCTGAATAATTTTTTTTGTTTTATTTTATTTTGTTTACTATGAAACCTCTCGGGCGTTTAGGTTTGGCAGTAAAAAAAAGAAACGCATCTGAACTATAAGCCAAGATTTCGACGACGGCGATTTCATTGGGTAATCGAAAGGTCGCTCTGACGTGACCCCGAATGGGATGTTGTTACTAGATGTTTGAGAAGCGACAGCGGATTCGGAACATAAAATTTTAATTAGATTGAATTTGTTCTCATGGTAAACTGAAAAAGTTTGCAAAAAAAAGAAGAAAAAAAATCACCTTGATTTAGTGGAATATTGCAGATAGAAAGAAGATTACATGTTATTTGTCAAAAATTGGAACTTTTATATTGATAATTTTCAAATCTGTGTAATGGAAATGCAACTGAATAAGACATCATGTGAAGACCTTCCAAAAGTCTTATACAGTTTGAAGCAGTACAATTAGCCGTTTGAAGAGGCAGATCTAAGTTATAAGTGAAAAGATTTCTGATAATACACAAGTGCACTCGCCCCAACAGTTGCGCCGTCAACATATGACGGTCAAGGAGTAAAAATGTTATCAATTTACAAAGAACCTACTTGTAACTGAAACGTCACATGGTATCAATCTGTAATATTTACCCCCCCCCCCCTTTTTTTAAAATCGTCTGCATGGGTAGTTGGACCTTCAGTAAAGCATCAAACAACATATCAGCTATCCTACCATGCTTACATGTGATACTAGTTTTCTTTAATATAATCATAATGTTATCTCGCTAAACTGACACATGAAACGTGCAGCAAAAATCTTCGACGGACAACGTTCAACGAAAATAACCATGATAACATTGTAGCTTTACCAGGCAAAAGGAGATTGTAAACGCACATCTGTACAGATCCCCCCTCTCGCCACCCCGTGTCATGTAGCATAAAAAAAAAACAACTTACATATACAGATTATGAGATAACGAACAATTTTTTTGGCGAAAACAAAGGAAATAGTATGTTTGAAAAATTACCGGAATGATTCAAGTAGGAGAAACATTTCCGGAATACTTGATCAAATACAACTGTGCGTGGATTTCGACCGATGCGATCTATGAGTATACACTTTTCTTATCGAAAGGGTGATATTATTTTTTTTAATTAAATATGTCAGTAAAATAAATTATCAAATTAAAGTATACTTAATGATTGATTTCTATTGCACACAAGTTCCTTAGAAACGGTGAGGTGAAACTTGTCTAGCTTACATGATCATGAGCTATAACTTTTTTTTCCTTTTATTTGTGGACGAGTAGAAAAGACTTTAATATCACTGACTATATTTGCTTTCCACAGGTAGTAAGAACAAAGAATGGAGTGACCCCTTATACGAAACAAGTACCTGTGCTATTCTGGCATACCTCTACCCTTACCAGTGCTTACAGCGGCGTACATTCCATATATAGCTAAATTATGCAAAAAGGCATACCCTACACATAATTTTTTCAAGGTTAAAAAAGAAATAGATGTGTGTATTTGGTTGGGGAAAAATGGAATAAAGACATACACAATTAATTATATCAACATGTGAGAAAAGGTATACATAAACATGCAAGATGATCGTCTACATGTGTATATATGCAAGATAACACTGAATTATAAGTTTGCAATCTTTTTAGAGAATTTAATTTTAAAATGGGAAAGGAATTACTCATTAATGCCAGCATCTGACTTCTTACATGCAGTGCATCATATTTATTTTGACATGCGATTTATTTTTGTCAACATGGACATGGAACTAACTTATGTGGACATGCGAGTTAATTATGTCGACATGCATGCAACATTGTGTTGTAATGCGACTTATTAAGGTCAACATTTCATTTTTCATTCTGAAAATGAAAGTTTATTTTTAAATGTGCAATTGTTTATTGAGAGATCTGGTCGTTTTTGAATTTATATATTTAGATTTATTTGTACATACTACATCAAATCAATTTTGTACATGCATAACCTATGTAAGATAATCATATTGACCTTTGGTTCCAGTGTAGTTTAATTTTTTAACATTACTTTGTGTAATTAATTGTTATAAAGGAGAGGACGTTCTAAGTTTTAATAACTTGTTTCCGATCCTTTTGTTGTAATATCTAAACAATAAAATATGTTCAAATCAACATTCGGGCTAATTATGTCGACAAACATCATAATTTAGTTGTCAATATATCTCGCGAATTGGCATAAAAATGAGTCTAATGTCTACATTTGAAATAACTCGCATGTCATTGTCAACATAAATACACGTATGTCATACGCCAAATAAGGTATGTATATATAAATAAGTTGCATGTCAACATAACTAACTCACACGTCAACATAACCATCGCGCATGTTGACATAAATAAGTCACATGACAACATAATGATTTTGCATGTCGACATAATAATGCAGTGGACATAAATTAGTTGTATGCAAATAAATAAGCAAAAGTTACGGACATTACAAAGATATTTTCCACTGTCGATATATAGAATTTTGTTTCAATACAGAATTTGTGAGATCCATTCGCTGCATAGTTAAGCAAAATCTAGGAAAGGAGCTGTATGAATATGTAGATATAGCCATTATCATGCATAAATGAAGATATATCATCGAAAAATGAATGACCTATTCTTGAGATGCACGTAACTGAAATACCCCCCCCCCCCCACTTCCAGGTGATAATTAACGGTTGTTAACTAAATTTTTCGAATACTAAACCACGATTATCTGCATTTGAATAAAAGTTAATGATAGTTAATTAGTTATCATTGTTAGTTAATGAAAAATATAAATTATCATTCGTAAATTATACTAGTAATTACATGTAGCATGCATTCGTTAACCATATAGTTTCACTATAATTATGAAACTATAATTTATCAGATAAGCTATTTCATTAACTATAGTTTATACATGTATTTATTAACCATACTTTACTGATCGTGAAACTGTATTTATCAGATAAACCTTCTTCTGCACTTGCAAATAAATGTTTTCACTTTAAGGTATAATTTATAATTGGGGCGTAAAAAAGATGATAAAATTAACGTTGTTAACTACATGTACTAGTTTAAGCTTCGTAAACTATAGTTTGCAATTGATAAACATAGTTCACTTAAAAATATGTTTAACGCATTTTTATATTTTTAAACATCCTATCCATGCGATCAGTGGCGTATACATATATTCCATATAGGCTAAAAGGCTGTAGCCTACACATCATTTTCTCGGGGATGAAAATTTGATTGAAAAAAGAGAACAGTTGATATAAATCTTATCTATTAATTTTATTTTGTTTCAAATGCCAAAAAAGCATACTTAGCAATCCGCACTTTTATACCTATCGAACGTTTACAATTTTACTTTATATTTGATAACTTATTCCAAACTTATTCCCATGACTGGAATTTTTTTAGGCCGAAATTCAAGTGACAACATTAAGTCTGTATCAGACAATTTCAGAACCATCGACATTCCCTATCCCTATGCAAAGGAGGCGACCAACTCTTTGCCTACCCATACCTTGCGCCTCTGAATAAATCTGGGACACTAGCATACACATTAGCAGAAGGGAATATACGCCACTGCCTTATATTCTCAAATTGAGAGAGAGCAGAATATACCCAAGTAACTAAAGAAGAGCAACTAAATGATATTTTTGTTTCCAAAGCCTTCTAGAGTGTAAAACAGCAGATTTGTTTTGCAGTCTGTAAGCAATAATGTCTTACCGTTCATTTAGCATTATTTTGTCACTTACCTTACCTGAACAGCAACATAAAATCAGAATGAAGCCTTGAATGTCTATGATTTTATCTCGTTTCAAGTCCAGTAGCCACTCAAAAATAAATATTGATAGACAATCTATCAGACTGAATTATAGGCGTGGATCCTTGTATTGGTGGTGTTATAATATAAGAATATTTACGAAGTATGGAGCCATCATGTTAAAAAATAAAAACAGCAGTAGAGAGAGCATGATATATCGCAGAGAGGGAAAAAAATCTAGGCGATCTATATTGAGGATGCATCAAAAGTTGAAGACAGAATTAAAAGAAAATTGAGAAAACATTTAGATATCATTAAAATGTTTTGTTTGCGTCTTACGAGAGATAACCGTGGCAACTAAACATGGTTACGTAAATGACTTCAATTGTTACACCTGTATATCACAAGAGGTACACATGTATTTAAGTTATTGTTTATATTTATATCTGTCTTTATTCATATAAAGTAAATAAAAGTACGAAAAATATTTATTATTGATCCCTGCGGTACATAGTTTAAATAACCATGACACAGTTGCCCTTTTAGCTGGCTAGGTGTCAAAAATTACCCAATAGATTCGGCTAAATTAAAATATGAAATATGATTTTTTTTTTAGCCATAAATTATTATTTACTTAAGAAAAATAAAATACTTCCAGGTAAAATATTTAAAGTATGTCACTCGTCACTTTTGGTAAAAGTTTGGTTAGAACCTCTAACTTCAAAATCATTTCTTACAATTCAATGGCGATGACACCGACCTCTTTCGGATGACTTTCAAAAGGCAATTCTAAACTGAACTGAAATCAACCACAGGTACTCGTGGACAGGATTGTCCCTACCCCCCCCCCCCTTTTTTTTCTAAACAGCTGTTTCACGTATATTATACGTGAAACAGCTGTGAATAGATATTGCATATGATTGATATATTTATGTGATTTTCAAAAAGATACATATAATTAAAGTTGTCAGAGATTAGAAAGTTTAAAAAAAATCAGATATTCTTTTTTTTTAATAGAAGGGGGGGGGGGGGGTAGGGACAATCCTGTCCACGAGTACCTGTGAAATCAGCTAGTTCAGAAGTAAATTGTATTTACTCCTCCTTCAGATAGAAGTAATATGATTTTTACAATATTCAGTGGATGTAAATACGTGTATTAGCAGGCAATTCAGGAATTTAAAAAGGTACCTCAAAATGCAGAGAACTGAGATCATTGATTTATTAACAATTTAATGGTACTATACTTAAATCTAATACAAAAGAAAGGAATGATGAAAAATATGTAATACAATATTATGAGATCACATTACACCGAAATTGTATGTGGTGGTTTGTAGATACGTCTCCGATGGAGCCAGTAATGTTGTAGGAAAATTTGGCTGAAAATAAGAAAAAATCGAAATAAAAATACTAGTAAACAATAAACCATTTGAACTTCTGCAGTGGAGTTAAACATGTTTTTTCAATATTTTTTTAACTGGCATGAAACCTACTTTGTTTGGACTATCTGGATAATGCTGTGCTTCAAGACAAAAGGCATCAAATTTCCCATACTTGGCCCCGCCCTTTCCGGTTTCGTTTAGGTAGTATGACGTATAAAACTGAACACCTGGTTCAGTGCTGAACATTTCTAGGTATCTACCTGTGGTTGGATGTTCCACCCTATAAAAGAAAAAAATCTCTTTTTAAGTACTTTACATGAAGACATCGATCTAGAACATTAATTTGAAAGCTAGATCAACAATATGTTCATACCTGGCCATGTATTTCCGCCATCCAGTTTTTCCAAAGCAGTAGTTATGATCGTACCCCACATCCCCGGGGACAGATGGAATCATTTCTCCAAGGTTCTTTTTGGTGCGCAAGTCCCAGGGTGTTCCATCTACATTCTCTATAACTCCTGTTAATTTAATAGCATTAAGTCATTTGAGCATCAAAATGACATATACGTTCGCCGATAATTACGAAATAATGTATCAGATGACATTGATGTATTCAGATGACAGTACTTTTCTTAAGGCAAAAAATCTTTGGGCATCATGACCTTTAACACAAGAGGCCCATTTGCCACAACGCTCAACTGAGTCACTTTGGCCCTGCTATGCTCTTCATTAGCAGAGTAAAAAAATCATTAATTTGACTCCAAATTGGAATTTGGTGTTCTTGAGAAGATTTCTTAATTTTTTCCTGTATGTTCGTACGAAAAACGTTGCCTATTGTGGCCCCACCCTACCCCTGGGAGTTATGATTTGAAAATACTTGAATCTACACTACCTGAGGTTGATATTAATATGACTAATCATGGCTTTGCTGTTCTTGAGAAGAAGATTTTTAATTACTTTTGCTATATATTCGTATGTTTAACTTTGATCCCCTCTTGTGGTCCCTCCGTAACCCTGGGGGTCATAATTTGAGCAAATTTAAATTTGAAGCTGTTACGTAAGTTTTATCTTTTCTGGCCTAGTGGTTCTTGAGAATTTTAAAAGTCATAATTAAATTTTCACAAAATTTTTACATCATCTCCCCTTGAAAGAGGAAGGCCATTCATTCGAAACCTGTTCATCAAAGGATGCTCAGAGTGTACCAAGTTTGTTTGAAATTGGCCTTGTGGTTCTGGAGAAGAAGATGAAAAGTTATTAATCACTACGATGACAACGCCATTTTGATCAGGTGAGCTAAAAAGATGTACATCTCATGTCTCATGAGATACATCTAAATAAATAAGAATTTAAAAAAAAATATGTTTACACTGTCTTATAGCATTTTTTTTACCTGTAGGAATGGAGGTAGAATCCACCGGTGTGTATTTATCAGCCATTATGGTTACATTGTGGCCAAAAATGTCCCCAGAACCCTTAAAAGTTAATAAAAGAGTGTCCTTTACTAATTAGAAATTCACGTAACGACATGACAATTTTAATTGTTGTGTACTCATTATGTGAATTTCTAATAATTCAATAATTGGTAAAACACAATAGTTTTTAAAATCATCTAAATACAGATGAAGCATCCGAAATTTTCTTATTTCACCCCCCTCCCCCCAAAAAACAGTTGAATATATTTATTTTCCCTAGTAAATTCACGTCAATTTCCCAAAAATTGTTAAGTTTTTACCCCAAGTTAATATGACTATAATTTTCTCTATTTGCACATGCATAGCTTTGAAAAAATTTTGAAAATCACTGAATGGCTCGAGAAAAACGGTCACTGAGAACAAAACTCTACATCGCTTCGATCAGGAACCAGTATGCAAAATATTTGGACGTTTCTGAATCCAGGTTGTGTAAAATACACTTGAACCACATTTTCCCCTATGAATTATATGATTATATGATATGATTATATTTTCAAATGAAAGCTATTCCCGCATGTAATTTGATTATAATTGTTGTAATTATACCAAGATATTATCAAGCACAGAACAAGTACAGTAAATACTAGTCCTTTATATACATCTTCGCATGACGAATTGTGCAGCAATTTTTACCGCACAGATGTCTCCGTCATATTGCACAATTCATTATATATACGGTTATAATACCTACTTGTCCATGGCATGAAATTCCTCTTAAGAGTGTTCACATGATTTTAATTTACAAAAAAAGTTTTTATTCTAACCTGTCCCGCCAAATTAAAGTAGGCGTGGTTTGTGAGATTAATGACAGTTTTTGCTGATGTAGTAGCTGAATACTGAATGACCAGTTCATTGTCATTGGTCAGCTGGTACCTGACGGTGACCTTCACCTCTCCCGGGTAGTTCTCCTCTCCATCAGCGCTGACATAGGTCAATCGCAGGACGTCACCGTCGATCTCCGAATTCCAGACTCTCTATAAATAAACAATCATGTGATAAAAAGTGAAAACAGGTTCGAAAAAATACAGGGATAGAATTTTCGCTGTTCGTATAAGATATCTCCAGTTTTCCAAACCTTGTAATACTATAGTTTTATGCAGAAAATACTTTTCTTTGCAGTTAGTCTTTTTTGGAATGATAAATAATGGTTATTAAAGCTGCAAGTTAAAACTTCTCCTACTTTATCGAATCCAACTTTTCCTCCATGTAGGGCATTCGGACCGTTATTCGTGACTAACTGGTATGTTTTTCCATCAATGCTAAAACGGCCATTTGCTATTCTGTTAGCATAACGCCCGATCAGAGCTCCAAAATACGGACCATTTGTTGCATATCCTGTACAGGAATTCATTAAAAAAAAAATCAATGACAGCAATCAATTGATTGTTTCATGAATTCTGTTGTGTATTACAATTGAAAATATAATAAGGCGGCATCTTTCGTACTTTTAACTAACGAAATCAAACTATGTTTTTGGTGTGTTTTTTTAAGCATAGAGTTTATATCAGACCACTTTACCATCAGTTTTCATGTGGCACATTTATTTAAAACCCATACGGTGTTTGAAGGAATCTGTCAACTAATAAAACCACTATCCATTTTTAAAATTACCTTCCATGTCATCAAAGCCAAGACAAATGTCATCCATTTTTCCACTCTTGTCTGGTACCCAAATATTTGTAATAATTCCTCCATAGTTCAGAATGCGTATCTCTGTCCCTTTAGTATTCCTTAACGTATACCTGCACACGGTTGATATGAACATAAAATTATACCCTTAACTGAATTGAAATTGGATTATATCAGTATTTTCAATATTTTCTCATCGCTTCAAAATACCGGTATATAAGCTTTAAGCAAAATCCCAAGTTTCAAAATCGATATTGCTCAGTGATTTTTACGGTACTGCAAGAATTCTGAGCGAATTTCGAAGAAGTTTAAATAAAACACTGAGCCAAGACTTTGAAAACTACACTGTACACATGAGCAAAAAAAACCAAACAAACAAACAAAATACAAAAGGGGGGGGGGGGGGAAAAAGAAGTGTGCAATTTTCGCCATGTCTTATTACATAGTTTTAAAAATATTTTTCTGGAATTCTTCTGTCATTCACAAATTGCACAAAATAAAGAATGTCTGGTAGTGTATTTTACACGTTTGAATGCCAGTAAATGGAAGTGAACTATTAAAATATAAGTGGTAAATTGCTCCCGTTCTTAATAATTTTATGTTTATTAAAAATCTGACATCTGATAATTTGTTAAATTGTCTTAGGAATTTTTTTTCTTAAATTCAGTTTTAACGTCCATGCATGGTATTGTGTAGCAGATGTGGATTTTTTTTTTTAAATAATGCGATTAAATGCTAATAGGGAAATGATTCATGACTAAGTTAAAGTCCCTCTGTTTCAGCCGTGTAAACTATATTTCCTACTGCTTTAACATTATTATGAAATAATTTTTCTGGCATTTATTTGGTAACATCGGCTTTTATGAAGATGCAGGTCGCCAGGTTGTACATGAAATTTAGCTCATAGGAAGGAATTTTTTTTTGGGGGGGGATCAAACATTTTTAGTTTGGGGGGGGGGGCACTAACCAAGCAAAAAGAAAAAGTCTTCAGATGTATTTATTGAGAGGACACATCCATAAAGTAGCTTTGTTTTCTATAGTATACTTTATTTCGGCAAAATGATGGGGGCAACCCGACGCACCCCCCACCCCCCCCCCCATTCCTACGGCCATGCGTATAGTTCTAAGTCAGCCTTGATTAGTACAAGTCTTATTATGGCAATGTAATGAACTATTTTAACATTGATTCTGTTAACAAATTGAATTAGTGTTTTAGACAAGGCAAAAGCTATCACTTACTGTAAGACCTCTTTTCCTTTATGAGTTCCAAATAGAGAACTTGTAATCATCGTTGAAGAATTGTCTTCTACAATAAATTAGGAAATCTTTAACTTAAAAGATATGTTTTAAAAAATAGTTTTATCGGTACACACACACAATATTTCTGTGCTCTTTTTTCGTGTTTTCTTTCTTTTTTTCTTTCTTTTTTTTTTTAATTTGTGGGTGGGGGTCGATCAGTAGTGAAAAACCTGTAAGGTAAATACAGTCCAAAATTATCATAATCAATGAAAATCAAGATGCGGCGTAGTCCAATATATGACGCACGTTAGATCCGCCAATGTGTTTTTTTTTTAAATACACGAAACAGGTAAACACGTAACTCCTCTGTAGATCGATCACTTACCTTCGGTGTCGCTATTTTTAACTGAGAGATAAATCACCACACTGATTAAGGTAATGATTAACACGGTCAGAAAGGCCAAAATAACACAGAAATTCCGATTAGCCGCATGGAGGTCATTCCTTCTGTTGTTAGGCATCGTGGAGGATGAGAGGATCACCTAGACATTATTTACGACCCAACCCCCGACCATTTAACCTGTGTGTGTATGCGCGCACAATTAAATCATAAGTGTGTGTGTGTAAAACCGTCTTACCTGCTTCAGTAAGCAGTCAAACTCTCTGTAAGATTATACCACGTTCAAAATCGCCATTCATAAATATACAAGCGGATCTGTTCGTCGACACACTGACTCTTAAATAGATTTTCTCTGAAATGTCAGGGGCGGATACAACTTCTGTTTAACTACATGTACCTGAGCGCAAGGTAGGAGAACATGTTTCCGATACGGGTCGATACTGAATTCCCCTTCCTCCTGCCTGAATAGTCCTAGAACGGGACAGAGAAATTTTTCATGGTGAAAAAAGATATACACAGGTATAAACATTATGATGGTTGAAAAAAAAACCCAGAAAACCGCGGCAAATACAAGTCAACCAAAAAAGTCCAAAAATTAATATAAAAAAAATAAAAATCAAAACTGTAAATTCATAGAGAAAACATTTTGGGAAAAACTTTTTTCCCCTGAAATTAAAAAAAAAACGATATGAAGAGTACAATATTCACCAAGCCCGAAGGACGAGGTGAATATTATACACAGAGGAGTTACGTACATTGCTTTATTTTCCAATATTTCTTTCAATTGAAATATAATTAAGAAATTTTTAATGTTTAGAATATAAAACATAGGTAATCAGAGATAACAGAGCTCGCCTCAACTTTTTTTTTATATTATTTCCGCTTTTCAATATTCATAAAACAGTATATTTATACAGATAAACATTGCGGATTTTTATTAAACATTCACTCTCTGATTCTTTCTTCTCACTCATTCACTCATTCAGCTCGCCTCAACTTGTCTTCAAGTAAGGCAAAGTCCCACACTAAACTAATAATCTAGTAACTTGTGCATCCATAGATGCAACATTTATGCAATTTTGGTCTGATAAAGCTTGCAGTTACTTGGGAATGGATTAAACTAGTCACTCATCCAGAAAATGAAAGTAAAATCCAGCATCTGAAGCAAGTTTGAGAGTGTTCGTCCCTTGATGCATCATCCATGCAAGTATGGTTCAGATAGGCCTTATAGTTTCTTGGCATTGGACCTGCTCCAAAAAATTTAACTAGTCACTCATCCGGAAAATGTAGGTCAGATCCAGCATCCAAAGCAATTCCATTAGTGTGCATCCTTAGATGTATCAACCATGCAAGTTTGGTCAACATAGGACTTATAGTTACTTGGAAATAAAATCTGCTCCAAAAACTTTAACCTGGTCACTCATCCAGAAAATGTAGGTCAGATTCAGCATCCGAAGCAAGTCCAGTAGTGTGCATCCTTAGATATATCATCCATGCAAGTTTGGTCAACATAGGACTTATAGTTACTTGGAAACAAGATCTGCTCCAAAAACTTTAACTTGCTCCATAAACACCAACCTGGTCATTCTTCAGCTGAAATTGCAGCATCTGAAACCTTGACTGGTACAATGAAACACACAAGAAGCATTATCCATGCACCTCTGATTGATATAGGGCATAGAAGTACTTGAAAAGAAATCTGCTCCAAAAACTTTAACCTGGGACCCCGACACCGACGGTATTACATAAGCTGCACCAACTTCGTTGAGGTGAGCTAAAAATAGGCTCTTGAAAATAATCCCAACAAAACTTCATATATTCGTAAAACTTATCAAAAATTATATTTAACTGTAAAGTTACATTTTCCAACTTTTCACAAAAATATTTGGTCAAACATAAAGTTGCTTAACTTAACAGATATCACTCCTTTAAGTGAGAAAGGCACCTATTTAAAGCAAAGGTGTTTGAATTTTGGAAGAAAAAAAAATGTGTTATTTATCCTTAATTTAGAATTTCTTGAACTATTTTTGATCCTGCATAGGAAAAAAATAATGTTTGTCCGAAAGTTGGGAGCAGATGAAATAACTTTTCATAACCAATAGTTTGGTCCAAAGTAGGGAAAAAATGTTATGTTCACCTGGAAGGTCGGTACAGTTGAACATTTTTCATAATAAATTATATCAATTTTGAAGTCCTCGATCTATTTTCGGTCTGTTCGTTATGTTCACCTGAGTTCGTGCAAGTTAGTATAACTTACATACAATATTGGACCTCAGCAATCAGAGAGCTAGAAATCATTCAGTTACAAATACATGTAATACTCAGTGTCATTGATTGGTCAATAAAATAATATATCTTGTATGTCTTTAGATAGAATGCTCTATCGTTAAAATGATCTTATAAGGAAGAAACACACTATAGAAACGTCAAAGAACTATAATTGACCTCTACGCAGCACAGTTAAGGCTGCAGTAAGGAGGCGGGGCCTAATTTATACGGGAAATGCTTACTATGACATCACACAAAAATATAAGTTCTTCAAATTACCACAAAATGAAATGATTTGCTATTTTAAACTGTTGAATAGCTTTAAACTACATCAATACTAACTAGTGCATGCATTATTGTCGCTGGTTAAATCCCACACAGCAATATATAAACAATTCATGATCGCAATGGACTTGTCAATGTGACGTCATATCGTAAAATTTGACGCAGTTTCTATGCAGTGAGAGGCGGATCAATTTATATTTTATACAATGAAAAATGTGTTTTGTAATTAAATATAATATCATTTGCAGATATATAAGAGGTCATTAACTTGGATGCGATGTCTATTTTATGATTTTATTTATATACTTCCCGTACATTCCCTAGACAAGCGATACTGCCGTATATTTGTATGCAGATTCATTGAAGGGTAATAGAAGGGTCGTAATAAATCGATATATTACAAGGGTATACCCTCAATGAATTATGACAAGCTTTTACACATAAACTCAAGAAGTACAAAGATATTTGAAAAGTGCTGCGAACCTGTTGAAATCTTGCAAATAAATTAATTATATCTATATTTAACGTACTTGACCATCAAAATATTCAACATACGGTCTAACAAATGTAATTTTAGCAAATAGATAGTAGAATCTATATAGGTTCGCAGCACTTTTCACAAACTACAAAGAGTGTTGAAAATGATTATATGTTAAACTTAGATTTTTAACTTGGTTATGCCCTTGCAATATTAGAATTTATAGATGACCTCAATACTTCAGGTAGATTTGCTAAAATCACGTGACTGCCACATCACGTGACAAGTCTCAATAAGAAATCTAATCGTCCTCAACATTTAGTTTTCAACCACATTGAACACTAATATTCTCCGGCTATACATGTATGTCGTTGTTTGAACGTAAGGTACATATGCTATATAGAGATCAATTAACATACGGAAAAAAATAAAAAAAATAAAGCTTATGAAAATAGCTGTTAAAGCCTGTACGCAGATATACTTCCTTGCAGGGATTATACTTGTAGTTTAAGGTCATCAGCTGGTCATGGTTAATTGTGTGCATCGGAAAGAGGAATGTCCCAGTACAAACATGCAATAAGATTTACTTATATTTTCTTAAGGAGTTGAACTAGTGTTATTTCCATGCAACTACTTCCTTTAACTCAGTCGGTAACCCACGGGTGATTCACATCTTGTGAACAGTGTACATACATATCTGTACAGTAAAATTAAACTGCATGTCCTTGCATTGAAGTTTCCGACATATAATAGCTCTCAAATAACTATCTTTTGTTTATTTGTGCAAAAAGTTCATGGCTGTAGGAACCGGGGGGGCAAGGGGGGGGGGCGTGCCCCCCAATAATTTTGCCGATATATAGATTACTATAGAAAACATAGCTACTATATGCTTGTGCCTCCTCAATAAAAACGTCTGATGACTTTTTTTTTTTTTTTTTTTTGCTTGTCAAGGAATTTTTGATAGTTGATAGTGCCCCCTCAGCTGAAGATGTATGGCTGTGCCCCCCCCCCCCCCCCCAACTGAATTTGCTTCCTTCGGGCCTGAAGTTGGAAATAATCACAAGAAATGCAAGATTAAACACTGTCGGTTAGAATACTATCATAAAATGTGTATATTACCGCCACACAGGCTAAACCCCTGTAACATATATATATATATATATATATATATATATATATATATATATATATATATATATATATATATATATATATATAAGATAAGAGATTTTATTGATACCAATTTGGGGCCCTTCAGGGCATACAAGTAAAGAATAATATACAGAAGAAGAAATTCAAAATTGATAGCAACAACATGTCGATATTGAAAGAAAAGAAAAGAAACTAACTAAAGAAGATGATGATGATTATAGCAGATGGGGATTACCAATAATAAATGCTTTATATATATATATATATATATATATATATATATATATATATATATATATATATATATATATATATATATATATATAAAATTATCATACGTACAAAGAATTTGTAACATATATTTGTACTAGAGTATTAATAATTTAATATTATTACTCTTTTGCATTTATTTCTTCTTTTTAACATTATATAACTACTATTTCTTATTTTAAAAATACTGAATAAAAAATTACCCAGCTTGATAAGCAACATATCATTCTCATTAGACATAATCCACAAAAATTTTTCTTTATTTATTAAACTATAAATTTTTTTTATTTTATTTAGCAATATTCTCAAAAAAAAAAATCATTTCTATCATGTTTATATAATGGACATTCAATCAGTGAGTGAATCTCATCTTCCACACAACTCATGTAGCACATTCTACAAATCCTTTCATTTCTTGCAAGGGTGGTTTGCTGTCCTTCTGTGTTTACATTTTTTTCATATCTTCCACTTTCAATTCTGAGATTATGTGCACTTATTCTAAATTTACATATAATTTTTCTTTGTTCAAAATTTTTTAAAAATTAATACTTTTCAATTTCAAAACTTCCTTTTACATAGAAATATGTTGTAAGTTTACCCGACAGACAACCCTCTTCTCTTTTTATAAACCAGTATTGAAGGAAATCCTCTCTAATAATTTTTTTCAGTTGTTTCTTTAAAGTTATTAGTTTCATTGATTTACATTTAGTC